AAAAAAAAAAAAAAAAAAGGGGGGGGGGGGGGGGGGGGGGGGGGGGGGGGGGGGGGGGGGGGGGGGGGGGGGAGAAAAAGTCCAATAAAGAAGTTGCTCCGGGTTCGGCGAACCCAGTTCGAAAAGTAGGCGAATGAAATTCCGGCGAGATTGCATCCCGGAGTTTCCGTTTCGCGGAAAATCGGATCCGGCTTTTCCCCCCTCCGCCCCTGCCCCTCCCCGATTACTCACTCGAGTAGGAGAAGATAGAATGGGGGTGAGTGAGGTCGACGGACTCCAGCCACAGGCAGAACGTGAACTCAGTCAGCTCCGGCACCGGCAATTCCCATCTGAGGAACTGGAATCACGCCGATTTAGGTTAACGATCCGGTTTAGCAAGCGTCCTAAATTTTAGGGGGCTGCACGACCACTTTTACGCGAAAGGCAGTACTGCTTTTTTTTTACTGCATACGTTGCGTCCGGTTAAACAACGTACTTCGAACTGCGGGGAAAGATTTCCGATGTTCGAAAAATTCGCGCCAGAAGTCGCGCGCGCGCACGCGGCTCGTCGTCGATTTTAAATATGAATTTACGAGGGCGTATTACGGACCGTGCGTTTTAGCGGTGCTTCGGCAATTTTTACGGGAATACCGATGTTGCTTTTCGCTGTAACGGGCGTGGATCGTTAAAGTACGTACTTTGAACTAATGGGGGGACATTTTTTTGTTCAAACATTCGCGCCGGTGGTCGGGCAATACGGGGCGGAAATGAAAAATGAAATTGTGCGAATTTGCATCGGAACGCGCATTTTGGGGGCTTGTTGGCAATTTTTACAGAAATACAGTACTGTACTCCGCTAAGAGAAGTATGGACCATTAAAGTACGTACTTTCCATTATGGGAAAACATTTTTTCCATTTCAAAATTTACGCCAAGGGTCGCGGAGTCTGGCGCGAAATTTAAATACGAATTTATGAGGCTTTCCATTAGACTGTGCACTTTGGCGATTTTTTTGATAATTTTTAAAAAAAGAACGATATTGCTTAACGTCAAATCCAGCGCGCATTGTTAAAGTGCATACTTGGAACTGTGGAGAAACATTTGTTCCAGTGAAAAGAAAAAAGTTGTTTGCATTTTAAATTTCTGGGACATCTGTTTCGTCATCACACCGCACGCATTTTCCTATGGGAAAATTCGTTAACCAGTCTTGGTGTATGGAGTTGGCACGGGGTGTCGAAATTACCGGTCAATTCATTGCCACCCGTTTTTCCATTGGCGGAGAGACTGCGACCGCGTAACAGGCGGGAAACTAGATCAGGGGCATCGCGTGCGAACGGTCGCTTTCTAAGCTTTCTTTGAACACCGGCGGATTTCGTAACGGCGAATGGACCCGATTGCAAATTTTGGATTATCTATGCAACTCGGATTCCTTCGGATATCGTCGCACTTCGTTCAATTGAATGAAGGTTCCTCGAAGACAATTTCAAAATTATAATCTTTCGATGGAAAACGAAATTTTATCCAGTTCAATCGATCTGATGTCATCGACACTTTAATGGACGATTAAAACGTTAGTACAATCCAGATCCGTAATCTTACACATCAGCTTATCAAATATGCGCTTAATAAATGCGAAAATCAACAATTTTTCTCTGACTAGAATTTCTCGAATTGACTGCATAAATGTATTAAAATCGATCGGTAGACTGATCTTTATGCAAAATGAGAACTGTTTTAATCAATTGTAAGAAACACAAATAATTAGTTTGAAAATGTCTTTGTTCCTTTAATAACTATAATAAGTCGAAAATAATGTAACAATATCTTCAAACTCTTCCAATGACCTTACAATTTTATATTTGACCTATTCGTTTTTCTCAGAAATGCATAAAATCCGCAGTCTATTGATCAGAGATTTTTCTGGGTGGTACGAAAAAAATCCGAACACGCTATTTCGTTAAAAAAATTAATTATGGGGCTCGCATTTCGTCTCATCGTGATAACAATACCTCGAAAATTCCCGCAAGAACTTTCGAACGAAATATAGTAACCAAGGGTAGCTCTCACCTGTATGTATCCCTTCTGAGTGAGCACCACCTTGTGCATGGGGGTTGTACGGGTCCGGTGCAGCTGCTGGTCCAAAATAGACGCGCACTGAGCCAGCAGAAAGAAGACGATGCACCCTCGAAAAACGATCACAGCCCTCCCAGCCATCTCGACCGAGAATCATCCCCTAGTCCCAGGTCTCAGCTTCGGATCCCGTTCGCCATCCAACTATCAATTTATCACCGAATTTATTTCAGGCGGGAAACGCGTTTCTCGTAGCCGGATTCCGTTCCATTCTACTCGGAGTTATGCGCGGCCCGAACAAGTCGAAGAGGAGGCCCGATGACAGTGCGGCGAGCACACGGCGCGAGTACACCATACTAAACAGGGCCGGCCGGTTCAGCCGCGCGATTTCGAGCGGCCATACTGGAGGGGCGGTTGATCGGAGAACAGAAGCGAACCGAACCGGTCGTTTAACCCGCGCCTGGATTCCACGCGCCGGAAGTCCGGGAACGTGTTATCGCTCATCCCCCGATTTGTCGGGCGTCTCGCTTCACGAAGCAAAAGCCTGGAAGTGCTGTTCGGGCGTTCCCCTTGACCGGAAACGTTGCGTATCTTCTCGATCGTCCGAGCTGCCCGCGAACGGGCACCGCGGTTCGAAAGCCCGTGGAAAACCGCGTCGAAAATGTGCAGCAGCACTTTTTCATTCGACCCGTCGTTTGCGAGATAACTGGCTTTGAAATCAAGGTCCGCGCGGAGCTCGAAACTCGCGCCTCGTCTCGGCCGCGCGTCATGCTCGTCTTTGCGCACGATTTTCTCGAAAACCATGACTCTCGTGAAAAAGTTCTCCGGATATTTTCGTCTCAGTTTTCGACGCAGATTCGCCTAATCGTCTTCGTTTTATCGCACCTCGCCCCTTCTTCGTGCCAGCCGTCTCGTCAGGCGACATACATGTTTTCGTCCCGGATCGAACGCCCGGCTCGTCGAAAAATGAAACAGGGAAAGCGTAATTGCGATCGGCCGGGATTGCATAATGACGACGAGTTACGTGATTTCGAGTTGTCGACGCGGACGTTCTGTAATAAACGAGGTGTCGGTCGAAACCGATACGAATTAGAAACAGAGGAACGAACGGTGGCCAGGCTCCGCTTTCGCAATCTCGAAAGTCTTCTAGGGGAACGGGAAAGGGGAGTCGCAGGGAGTCGCGGGCGTTCAGGGATTTATGGGCCGTAAAATGGCGGACGGCTAAGGGACATGGTTCATCGCGGGGACGAAACTCGGGCCCGTTACGGACCCGTATCGTTTTCATTGCCAACCGGCGCGCATCTTTTCCCTTTCTCGTTGCTCGTTTTCACCGCAACGATCGCACGCAAACATGGTAATACAGTTTCTATGCTAATCCGTGTATTTCTAAGCTATTCGTCGAGCAATTCACCATCTGCTTTCGTACAACGGAAATTCAAATTTCCAGTAAATCGATAATTTCATCGCTGGTCTAATAAGTAGCGAAATTATCGTTATCGGTGAATGCGTTTGAAACCAATGAAACTGATGATAGCCGTTCGATCAATTATGGTCCTCGGGGGAATTTCGTTTCTTCGATCGTCTGTCAAGACGATGATTGACGGGGAAAGCGACAACTTGACTCCTTCTTCTTCAGGTTCTTTTTTAAACCGGGTATCTACTAGTTGTTGTTTACACGTCGATCGTTTCGATCACTTTCTACCTATAATCGTCGTTTTCCATCGGGGCTGTTACGCAATCCCGCAAATTCATATATGTATTCCCACATTACGCATGCGCATACGCGTGCACGCATTGCGAAACGGAACGAAGCGAAACGTTTCGAAATCCCCGACATAGTTATGAAAATATTTGCAGTTCACCGGACAAGCATTATCCGTCGTGACGGTTAAATAACCAGGAAAAAAATATCATTTGTGTTCCAGACGGCGAAGAATTCGACTTCCGGCAGCAGCGGCTACTACGTCGGCGGAAGCAGCACGTTGCCACGTGGTGGCCAGCTGATGAGGGCGTACAGTCCGGCCGCGTCGTCCGTCGTGGGCGGTCCGACCGCGACGCCCACGCAACCGAAACCTCTGGCCACATCAGGTACGCCGGAAGTTCAGGGACGTCGTCGCTGCTCGCGCGAAACCACGACTCGGTTGAACGACTGCCGCGAGAGATCGCTGCTTCTGCGCCTGAACTAACACCCCTCATGCTTGCCCACGCTACTATAATCTTTCCCTAGACGCCTCGGTTCGCGGTCATCATCTGCCATGAAACAACCGGTGCCTGGGTCGATCTGGACCGCTAATCGCGTCTATTTCGCACGATTCGTTCGATACGCAACTAATTTAGACTTTCCACGGCTCCGGTCAAAGTTGACCCAGGCATCGCCGGAACACGAATCGCCGAGATTTTTCGATTACAACGGTCTACATGACTCACTAGCTCATAAATTGTCATTTCTGGTGGCTCTCGAGGTAGACACGTCCTCGAGAACAACCAGATTCGACGCACCTGCACGCGCTGACCCCGCCATCCGGCCCTGCCTGCAGCGACGATCGATGGTCGATCGAGTAACGGTTCGTCGACGAGCTCAGGTTGACTCGCGAGAACGTTTCCAATGTTTCGCATGCACGGTCGACCTTTGCTCGTAGATACGCATCAGCCAAACGCCTCCTCTTCCCACGATCCTGTTCGCCATCATCCAAGCTTTCGACGCCAGGACTGCTAGCACGAGACCCGCCCGTTGCCTCGTCGATCCGCGTAAATCCTTCCGGCGCGAGCGCGATCGTCGACGATCATTCGTGTCACGTCTTTGCTACCGAGCGATGGAAGTAGCAATCTACAGTGGCGATTCTCATAGTGCTCAGCAACCTGCGGTGCTTTCTTACTAAAAAAGAAAAAGAATCCCTAGGAACGTAGACGTTGAAATGTTCTTAGTAACTCAACGACTTTGCGGTCGCTTTAGTTAGCGTGGCAAACGTTGAAAGGTAACTAGGACACCGAATACTGATAAATCACTAGAATTGTAAGCATAGAGGAATCTAGCTAAATAGTAACCGAAACATAGGAGGACTATTTGCAACGATAGAAGTAGTCGAGGGATTGTGGGAGTAGTTGCGGGCGATTGGTGCAGGTGATTTAGGTAGGATGAGCACTATGGGAGCCGTTCGTGTGGCAAGGGACGAGGTCAGGGAGAGACGCGACTCGAACCGAAACAGCTGGGTACATTGGTTTTTGTTTGGTTTTTCCGGACGGTTGGATAGGTGGTGGCGGGGTGCCGCCGGCCAAGCCGCTTCGCAGCTACCAGTGTGTTAAGAGTCCCCTTGGAAGCCTCGGGGGCTCGGCTCGCTTCTCTAGAGACAGCTCGGTCTCCCTCTATAGTATAGCAGGTCAGTAGAGTTATCCTTAAATGAAGAAGACGAAAAACCGACGGAACCGTTCGTTAGAAACGAAATCGCCGAGATGACAGAAAGACCGAAAGATCGAAAACAAAAAAGAAAAAAAGAAAAACGAGAACTCGACGCGGGAACAAGTTGAGAGACCAATTTATCTTTCCCTCGATCATGGTGCCCTCTGCCTCTCGAAACGTTTTTCGCGCGCCGCGGGAACCAACTCGACGATTCTCGACGCGTAGACGAAACGGCGCGGTGCCGGCGCGTCCCTGTCGACAACAATACGACTGGATCGAGGACCGTCCCGACGAAACCAGGTCGAGAACGCCTGTGTCTCGAGGTGTCGAGAATCGCTCCAGTCGACACGCGGGCGTCGTCGTTCCCTCGAACGGATCGAGGGCCGGGCGACTGGCTCGACTACACGGAGGCGGTTTGGTCGTAAAACGAATACCCTAATTGGCACACTGGCTCGAGAAAATTCTCGTGGAATACGGAATAATCTCCGTCTTGTGGCGGCTAGCATCGAGGCACGCCGAGGTCTGGATTAGTGCAACCGACTCGCCCCGGATTGGCTGATAACGTAGCCTCGGATAATCGGAGTCGCGAAAATTTACCTAGAGCCAGGGACACAGTTTTTGTCCTCGAATGAAACCACGATCTAATAGACACCACGATCCTAACCTCTTAACCTGCGTAGAAGCTTCTAGGTACCCTAGATCCACCTGTAGCTCCGATAGCAGTAGAGACAACTTACCCCTCCACGTAAATCGGTATACCACGCAAAGTAAATTACCCAAGGAATCCCTAGCGTCATTAACAGAAGCTAGCAAGCCGTTGCATCGAATCCCTAGGATCTTGTATACCCCGTAACCAAAGTACATACCTAGGGGCATGGGAAAACTAATCGAGTGGCCCAGCACTAAACCAGACCCGACTGTGTCCAACCCGACAAGACTGGTTCGGCGACCCGGGATTACCCTGCGACACACGCACAAACGACCCTCGGTTGTGTCACGTAGAACTTACTATGACTATTGAACGTCCCGTAAAGCATCCCTCCGCCCCGTACTCGGTGTTCCCCCGCTGTTTTACCGACGGGTCGAGACGCACCCGCTCGGTGGTAGACGACCCGCGGTCCCACTAATCTACCCGATTGCCGCAGATCGACTCCACGAGACCGGCTACATGAGCAGTCCGGAGAGAGGCGGCGGCGTCAGCTCCGGATCCGGAAGATACCCGGCCGGACCCTACAGCGCCGGAAGCAGCTACGAAGACCCGTACTACTCCCAGTACTCGGGCACCGTCACCCCGGTCATCGACGAGGAAGCCAGGTAACCGGAGTTCCTTGATGATTATCGACGGGGCCGGTCCGCGGCCCCGGACGATAACAAACCCTTGCTGATTTCATACTCCGACGGACTTCCCTTCTCTGTCAACGCGACCCAACGCGAAATCGGGTCACCGGGTTCACAAAATTTCGCCGACGAATTCACCACTTCGGAAAATCTTTTGGCTTCATCGGCTGGGGGAGCATCGCGCGGATTGCACAGGGTGTCCTGGTAGCAACGACGACGGTGGAGTGGGGACATAGGGGTCCTACAAGTGTGGACTTGGGGGTACTTGAGTCTGGATTTAGCTGTCTCACCACGGAGTCTTAAAGAATCGTAAAGAATCCTAAAACTTGGGGGTCCGTGAGTCTGAAGGTTGACGTTTCGTGAAACTGGACTTCGAGGAGCTAGAGTTGGATTGCTTGAACACCCTGTGCAACCTGGTCGGCGTTGATCAGAGGGGAAGAACGATCGCGTGTCACCATGGATGGCTGATAGCGCGGATACGTGTGTCTCTGTTGTGGATGGTGCAGCGATACGGAGCTGTTGGAGGAATCGTACAGCCTATACGGTGTGAAACCGTCAGGCCGTCAGCCATCCGGTCCTCCGCGATCCCCGTTTCCTCCAGGGGCGGCACCACCTCTGCCACCCAGTGGTCAGAGCTACGACGCTACTCGGTACCGATCCACCTTGTGTATACACGTCGATAGAACCGAAATCAGTGAACGTAGAGCTCTCTGTCGATGCGATCCGGTCTCTCAGATGTATCGTCTGACGCCGCGTTTCACGGAATCCTCTTAGAAACAGCCCAGATACAGTCACCCGGTCGTGCCGGAAACGCAGCGTCGTTGTACGAACGCTTTTGATCTGACTCGAATGCGCTTTGCGAATGCGTCGTCCATAGACCCTACGGCCACCGTTCGCGGAGGAAATTTTCTAGGACGAGAAAAACCGATGACTGATAAAGCATTTAAGCATTGTTTTTCTCGTTGTACACCCTGTACATGTCAGTCGGTGGAAAGTGAAAAGCCCGCTCTCTTTCTCCCTCGGGTCGACGCTCCACGAAGCCTCCCCCCGGCTCGGTTATTTATGTTCGCCCGTTTATCGACACGTTTCGAGTTCATCGATCGGTGGGAACGAAGGCTTCGTTGACCCGGCGGAGGGAAAGAGAGAGAGAAAGAAGGCTCCGGTACACGCAGAGCTCTGTACCATTTCTCGTTAGGCTGAATCCTCTCCGGGACGCTGGTCGTTCGTTTGGATGCATGTATAATACGCGTCGAAGCATGCAGAGATATCTGGCCTCGCGCTCGGAATCGTAACGCGGAACCGTCGGGTAATTTCAATCAGTTGGTTGGCACGCGTTGAACCATTGTAGCACGGTCGAACGGACGGGATCGGGTCTGGATCTGGAGGATGATCCAGCTCTGACGCGGGATAATGTTCGCGCGAAAAGTTTCGTTAGGTTTCGGTAAGCTTTGAGAAACGACCTCGTGTACTCTCAGGTCTTAGCTATCCCCAAGTACAGTAGATCCCAAACATTGTTCTTCAGGATCGTTCGTTCGATGGTACTCCACGAGTTCAACTGCGAATCGGTGGAATGCAGCATGCCGATTAGCGATCGTAGAGAGAATGCATATCGAGCGCTTTTATGTATGTATGTACGACATGTAGACCTTAGGACTCTAGACTCACACGGCCTTGGCCATCCAAGAGTTTGCCATCGGACCTTGGACCCAAGGTCCTGTGCGAGATTGTCAATGTCAGTCATCGTCACTGTCTCCTGGTATTCGATAGCGAGGTAGCAAATCCTTTGTCGGCGAATGGACCTCTATCTTTGCTACCTCGATACGCTTCTCGAAGGCACCACAATCCCCTAGATCCATAGTTTGCAATGTTGGTCCCGTTCGCCAAGCGGATCCCAAGTGACACCGGCTAATCTGTTCTGTCTTCCTTGGTCTAGGATACGGGTGGAGCACATGGAGAGACAGTTGGCCAACCTGACGGGGCTTGTGCAGAAGGCTCTGACCCACGCCCCTCACACGAGCCCGTCACCCAGGGATTATCTGCAGGTGCCAGCGGGTCGCGACCCTTACGCGAGGGCCCCAGGTACGTTTCCGATCCGAAATCCGGCATTTTACGAGACTAGATTAGCCGCGCTGTCCTAGGTCCTGGTCTCCGAGCAGGGATCCCTTCGTTTCCGCTGGGGCTGGGCGCATTTTCGACGAATGTATTTTTATTTATTTTCTAGTAACTCCGTAGAAATTTTCACAAATTTCAAGTTATCCGAGGGAAGGGTCACCTGGCCACGCCCAGCTCCGGTGCCCCCGCGTAGTCCCCGCCCATTTCTGTTCCGTGGCTCTTGAGTTTCCGCCCAGTCCCGCCCACCGGTTCGCCTCCGACGACCCGGACGTTCGCATATTTCATTTCTCATTCGATTTCTCATCCCCTGTCGCACCACTAGGCGCATTAGAAGCGTGTTAGCCTCTCGTTTCGTTCAAGTCGATCCATTCTGCGACGCTTTGACGCCTCTCTGCCCGTGTATGTTGTTCGCCCCGCCCATTTCGCTTTCTTCTACGATCCCGTTCGTTCGACAAACCCCGCCCCCCCGTCGCCCACTGTCACGCCCACGTCTGTCTCATCACGTCGCGCGACTTCTTTCGCTCTCTTTTAGATACTTTTCTAGGTGATCGATCGGTCGGAGCTGCCGGACAGCTAACGCTGAGACCTGAGTATTATTTCTTCGTTTTTTTTACTTTTAAGCGGGACTCGCCGCGTTTTATTTAGGCACCTCGGTGCTGTTCCGAGACTTAGAACCGGAGGTCCTGGACATTTCGGCATTCTTAGAATCGAGTTTTGATACGCGCTTTTCGATTGAGAATTATCTATGAAATCTTCAGGACTTCCCAGGCCCCTGTGAACCGTCTCCAGGCTTTTTGAATTAATCTTCTCGGCCCAAGGAGTCTCGAGACGGTTTCCAAGTTAGAATCCCATCGCCACCAGCTGTCTTAGCAGCTGGCCCCGCCCTTCGAGCCGCCAGATAACGCCTCGAAGTGGCGTACAAGTAAAATTTGTGCCGCGGTCGACGCCGTCGCAGTGGTGCTCATATTCGGTTCCATCGAAAATCTCATCTCCGTCGGGAGACAATGCGTCCCGAATGTTTGAGGAGCAATCGGCACCGCTGCGACGCGTCGCACCGCGCCCTGAAAATTTTCCTGAAAACCCTGCTGTACAACTGCTTTGTTATTCCGACTGACGCGCACACCAGGCGCCGGGGACGAGTTCGACAAACACTCTAGTTCCAGCTCTGCCTCATTGCCAGGTGTGTCTCTTCTCATCTTCTTTCTATCTTCTATTCTCCTATGAATCACTGTGACCGCTACAGTCTCGTGCGCCATCGGACGGAGGACAGCCATTGCTTCGCACGGCAATGGCATGTGGACAGCCTAAAATATACGATTGCTTCGAATCGCTCGGCATAGTTATAATAGAACAATTACTTCAAAGAGTAGACGACCGCTAAATCGGTAATCAGGTGTCCGACCGGTGGTGTACACGCTCTCGCGTAATGCATAATGTGATTACTGTTGTTATTACAATGTTTTATAATAGTGCCCTACGTTCTACCACTGTGTGATTAAAACGGTTCTCCTTTGTAAAATTTAAGTGTCTCAACCTGCCGTTACAGATGACTCGTACTTAAGGACTGACGTAAAACCACCAAAGTTAGGCAAAGGTGCGGTTCACAAGATCTCCACGTATCTCCTCTAAGCACCAAAGCATCGCCGCCTCTCGCATTATAGTTGTGTCGTGGTCGTCCACGTGTGCGCTCATCTGCACGCTAATAACATCACGCCGCTCTCTGTGTCTCGTTTCACACGCATCCCCCCGCCGTCCTGCTTGCTTCTTTTCTGTGCGCGTACTATGTACACCGAATGATCAATCATCGTTCAGCCACCGTGGCTCGACAAATGGTGAAACGAAACTATTAACCTCTCTTGCACCGAGCACAAATGTTTGCACATCGGGTTCCGCATGGTTTTTCCCTTTTCATTCGTCGAGACACGGTGTTCCAGTTGCACTAACGTACCATTCTTGCTTCGCTGTCGATTCTAGCACTCGTTTAGGTTATGCCACGCGAGCCTAGTTGTCTCTCTTTCTCTCTCTCTCTCTCTCTCTCTCTTTTGTTCACGAAAACAGTACTTGATATATTTCGTTCTCGGTTGCCCCTCACCCCCTACCCCCTGAGATGATAACAGCACCGCAATGATAAGTCAGCACCGCCCCCGTACCCCCGCTCCTTTGAAAGTTTTGTCGCGCACGCTGCAACGCTTCCACCCTGTCCGGCACGGGACCGCAAAAATACGCTGATCAACATCTATTCCAGACAAGTCGGTGTCGTTCGAAAAGTCAGTGTCCTTCAGTGACGAGCCACCGGACATGAACTCACCTAAGCAGCATTCCCCGCAACACGCAGGTAATCATTATTCGCACTTTGCACTCTAACACAGCGGAGACCGAGTTTACCGACGCGCTCGAGGCCACGCCCCGCGCCACTGGNTATGAAATCTTCAGGACTTCCCAGGCCCCTGTGAACCGTCTCCAGGCTTTTTGAATTAATCTTCTCGGCCCAAGGAGTCTCGAGACGGTTTCCAAGTTAGAATCCCATCGCCACCAGCTGTCTTAGCAGCTGGCCCCGCCCTTCGAGCCGCCAGATAACGCCTCGAAGTGGCGTACAAGTAAAATTTGTGCCGCGGTCGACGCCGTCGCAGTGGTGCTCATATTCGGTTCCATCGAAAATCTCATCTCCGTCGGGAGACAATGCGTCCCGAATGTTTGAGGAGCAATCGGCACCGCTGCGACGCGTCGCACCGCGCCCTGAAAATTTTCCTGAAAACCCTGCTGTACAACTGCTTTGTTATTCCGACTGACGCGCACACCAGGCGCCGGGGACGAGTTCGACAAACACTCTAGTTCCAGCTCTGCCTCATTGCCAGGTGTGTCTCTTCTCATCTTCTTTCTATCTTCTATTCTCCTATGAATCACTGTGACCGCTACAGTCTCGTGCGCCATCGGACGGAGGACAGCCATTGCTTCGCACGGCAATGGCATGTGGACAGCCTAAAATATACGATTGCTTCGAATCGCTCGGCATAGTTATAATAGAACAATTACTTCAAAGAGTAGACGACCGCTAAATCGGTAATCAGGTGTCCGACCGGTGGTGTACACGCTCTCGCGTAATGCATAATGTGATTACTGTTGTTATTACAATGTTTTATAATAGTGCCCTACGTTCTACCACTGTGTGATTAAAACGGTTCTCCTTTGTAAAATTTAAGTGTCTCAACCTGCCGTTACAGATGACTCGTACTTAAGGACTGACGTAAAACCACCAAAGTTAGGCAAAGGTGCGGTTCACAAGATCTCCACGTATCTCCTCTAAGCACCAAAGCATCGCCGCCTCTCGCATTATAGTTGTGTCGTGGTCGTCCACGTGTGCGCTCATCTGCACGCTAATAACATCACGCCGCTCTCTGTGTCTCGTTTCACACGCATCCCCCCGCCGTCCTGCTTGCTTCTTTTCTGTGCGCGTACTATGTACACCGAATGATCAATCATCGTTCAGCCACCGTGGCTCGACAAATGGTGAAACGAAACTATTAACCTCTCTTGCACCGAGCACAAATGTTTGCACATCGGGTTCCGCATGGTTTTTCCCTTTTCATTCGTCGAGACACGGTGTTCCAGTTGCACTAACGTACCATTCTTGCTTCGCTGTCGATTCTAGCACTCGTTTAGGTTATGCCACGCGAGCCTAGTTGTCTCTCTTTCTCTCTCTCTCTCTCTCTCTCTCTTTTGTTCACGAAAACAGTACTTGATATATTTCGTTCTCGGTTGCCCCTCACCCCCTACCCCCTGAGATGATAACAGCACCGCAATGATAAGTCAGCACCGCCCCCGTACCCCCGCTCCTTTGAAAGTTTTGTCGCGCACGCTGCAACGCTTCCACCCTGTCCGGCACGGGACCGCAAAAATACGCTGATCAACATCTATTCCAGACAAGTCGGTGTCGTTCGAAAAGTCAGTGTCCTTCAGTGACGAGCCACCGGACATGAACTCACCTAAGCAGCATTCCCCGCAACACGCAGGTAATCATTATTCGCACTTTGCACTCTAACACAGCGGAGACCGAGTTTACCGACGCGCTCGAGGCCACGCCCCGCGCCACTGGGAACGCCCACCGTCTTTGGGAACGCCCACCGCCCTTGGGAACGCCCGCCCACAATAATTAAGTTCTGCCGGGGAAAATCGACGACTTCGAGCGTGTCCGTAAAGGCGGTCTCCGCTCCAAGCACCTTCCCCCCGTGAAAATCGAGTCTCTAGAACGACCCGATGATAAATCGAACGACGAAACGCTGGAGCGTCGACTAGATTGCCGCGGGTTCACGACCCGGATGCTGAAACAACGATCGGCCACGTCATGATCGTTGCGATTAGTTTCGAAAACGCTCCACCGTTTCCTCGAGAGGCCTCGGACGAGACGAAACCCTCGTGTCGAGGATTGGACAATACTAACGCAATAATCTCTGACCTAACTTCTCGTGCAATGCCTACCACGACTAGCGGACACTAAGCCAACGAAACCGGCGATCAAATCCTCCACGTTGCCGAGGATGTCTTCGCAAGGTAAACCCGTATCTCGTTTCTATATGTGTGTCGCGATCGGTTCGTCGATCAAACAAGCTCGTCACCTCCCACAAAAGCATTCGTTTCTGTCTCTGCCCCGCCCCCTCATCTTTACGCTTCCGTTCGGTCATTCGTCCGTCATCTTGTGTTTCGATCACGTCCACGCATCGTATACATATATCTCTGTCTCTCCATCGATCATCCCTCGGTGTCTCTCGTCGCTCATTCGGGGATCATCGTTGTCATCGGCCGCGAGAAAGCGCGATCCGGCCGAGAAACTCGTGGGGCGGTTGCACAAGAAACGCGGCGACCAGGGAATGTAATGTCGCGTTACAGGAACAGACGTCGAATTTGGTCGCCGGACGGCCGACCTGCTCGTTTTTCTCGAACGTGACGCAGCTGTCTCGGCAATTTCTGTTGTACAACTATGAATTGCATAATTTGCGGATAAGAATGCCAACGAGTCGTGGCCCCGGCAACGGCCACGTCGCCACGAATTGGTTCCCAGAAGAAGGTCTGCACGGTCGAATCTCGATGCAAATTCATATTTTAATAGTGCAACAGTCGCATGGTACATTTACATGTTACAGAACATTCTATTAGCAGATTTCGCTTAGGTAGATATTAACCCTTTGCACTCGAGGCCGTTTTAACTCCATTTAAATGGACCATTAAAATTTAAACTCCGGGCCATTTAAACCCGTAATGGCTTCTCTGACCCAGTATTTCCATTTCATACGAGACCAGACCGCGAATTTTATATGCGAAACGAAAATTGTAAATTGCAAGCTCGTTCTTTCTTTAATCATTTTCACAGATCGAAAATGCCACGTCGACGTTTTCAATTTCATTTGATCGTTATAATATTTTAAATTGCTTTCATATTTCAAATTTTCAATTGCTCCGCAAATATTTGTGGTGCAAATTCCGTGCGTTTTATGAAACCATTTTCTAAGTACAAACTCGAGTGCAAAGGGTTCAACTATGAACCCTGCAAAAATAATCAAAATTGGACTGCTCGATAATTGTTCGGTGAATGCGAAAATAATTTAGAGAACATTTTCGCCGAGAGAACGGGAGTTTCTCGAGCCGATCGCGCGCCATCTTGGACGCAATCAGGCCCCCAGAGCCCGGGGGCCCAAGGTGAAATCCAAGCCCTCGGATCATGGCCGCGCACGCATCTCATACCGCTTCCGTCATCGGGCCAATCAAAACGCTGACACCCGAGGCGACAACGAAATTATTCTCTCCGCCAACCACCCCCCGCCACGCTCCGTTTCCCGCCCCACCCCCCTGGCCCGTTGGATCGTGCGAAACGCGTCGGACTTAACGAGCGACAAGTGGCGTCTGCCGCCGAATTCAACGAGAGCATTGTTTTCGGTGACCTAATCGAGGAGATCCGTTCAAGGATAGAGCTGTCCGCTCCGTTATTAGAAAGTGGAGCTCGTTTATCCGGAGCTGGCGGCGCAAGAAAACATTAATAAATCGCTGTGCAAGAGCCCGATCGAGAGATTTCGTAATTGCAGATTTGCACTTGTTCTTATTTTTACGTAACTTAGAAGTTCTCTCGATAGTCTTAATAATGGGTCTCCGATCTTCATTGGCTCGCTACAATTTAGTTTTTGTCAGTGTTCTTAGTTCTTTTTTTTTTACATAAACTAGAAGTTCTCTTGATAGTCTTAATAATGGGTCTCCGATTTTCATCGGCTCGCTGCAATTCAGTTTTTGTCAGTGTTCTTAGTATACTCTCTTGTCTTTTTATCGGGGATTTATTATTGCTCGTGGACAGCCTCGTTAGCATTAGAGAGTAATAGCAAACGGTACAGGGTTGCCACGTGTTCGCACGCGGACTACTGTACCATTGTTATTTGATTTGACTTATTCAATATTACGAACGGAACATCGCCGTAAAACGAAGAAGCTCGCACGGTTCAGCGGGGTCCCGAGAAGCTTTTTCTGTGGGTAACCATGGGTAGCCATCGACCGGAAGCGTCCGCTTGAACCTAGCCCGAACGGTTTCAGAGCGGGACAGGCACAAGCCGACTCCTCCGCCGAAGCCAGCGGCCTTGGTGGCCGGTCAGTACGTCTACCGGGACCTGGCACTCACGCCGGAAATGTACAACCAGCTGCGAGGCCTGCAGAAGAAGGCGAAGGACCTCAGGCAAGAGGTCAGGAACCTGAGGCGCATGTCTCAGGCGCAGGCGCACACCGTCAGAGAAACTATCAGGGACACGTTCATCACCATCAGGTAACTAAACCTGCCGCTCAATTCTCTCGAAATTAATTCCACGGTTGCTGACACGACGTCTGTTCGTTTCAGAGCCATGTTATTGTCTGGCGGGGACGCCTCCTGGAGCGCTGGGGACGCCGAGAAGATGCGACTGAGCCGCGAGGAAGACCTCTACAAGCAAGAGATGCTGAGGCTGGAAAAAGATCTGACGTGAGTACTCGTGCGCCAGCTTGCATTTTTCCTTCCATCCTAACGATTTCACGATCTCAGCGAGCTGGAGAGCACGGTGGAGGAACTCCGTGGCAACGTCATCAACAGGAAAACGCGGGTCAACATGTCCGACGTGGAGAACATGGCCTTGATCCTCAGCAAGTCGAGGTAGGCCCATCGCGAACAGCAAACCAAGCTCGAGCGATCGCTGTATTTTCGTTTTTCTCTTGTTCAGCCAAACGGTGGCGGATCTGAAGGTGCGGTTCCCGGGCCTGCAAGAGGGCCTGAAGGGCCTCTTGAGCTCCGAGATGGAGAAGGTCGTGCGCGAGGAGAAGTTCCTCAAGGAGGAGCCGGAACGATTGGAGTCCGCGCTAAGGCGCTGCAAGAAACTGACCGGTACCCTCGTGACGCTCAAACGGTAATCACCAATTAATAATAACGATATCAAGGAGCATAAGCAGATTAAATCGCCAGTGGAATCGACAGCTTGCCAAGACGGGGAAGTCTTGCCTGTGCCGAGTTTCAAATTTCTGTCTCGACCAGGAGAAATCGGATTACCGGGCTTCGGTCCGGATCGTCCGTTTGATCGCGCGCAAAAATTCCGAAAAAAATGTGTCCGACGCCTCGCGGGTAGTGGTTAGAGACACGTCGCGGACAGAGGATTAATGGAGACACGTTACTTTTGCATTTCCACAGCTTGGCGTCGGTGCAAGAGCAGCGATTACCAAACGCGACGAGCGTGGACGCAGAGGAGACGCCTCCGATCACACCCACGTCTGCCCAACATTCCAAGGTAAAGCTTCACTTGCCCCGGCTGCTCGCTCGCTCTCTGTCTTCCCATTCTTTTTCTCTTTCAGTTTCTCTCTCTCTCTCTCTCTCTCTCTTTCTCTCTCTCTGAAATCTATCGATCTATCTATATCTATCCTCGTCTGTCTATCTGTCTGTCTATTTATTTGTCCGTAATCCACGAGTGTCCCAGGCCCCTCCCACTTCCCCCGCTACTCCCGGTGCATGGAACCTCCAGATTCGCGAGCCCGAAACGATCCCCCGGATCGTCCAGTCTTGTCGCGCCTCGGACGAGCCCGAAGGAAAAGAAGAAACGGTGAACGAATTCGATTGTAACGGTCCCCGAGTTGCCTTCGATTGGTCGAGTCACGAGGAACGAATGGAAGTGCACTCTGCGCCCCGAGATACACGTGTTTCGGAGTTTGCATCGAAAGTCCCAGGCCCCGCCCCGAAACCCCAGCCCCACCCCCCGCTCTTTCAAGTTGAACATTTGTCGATGAACAAAAAAAAAAGACCCTCGGCGAAGTAGACGACGTCGATGACACCACTCTCCACGCTTTGTAGATCTCTTTCTCTCTCTTGGCCTAACCGAGTAAAACGATGTGTGGTATTATATCTCTTGCAATGACGTGTATCAAGTCCGACCACCGCTTACCCCCGTATCCTATTTATGCTAACAAGCGCATGCACCGAGTGATCTAGAGATTTGTCTGCACACGGTATGTGTGCTACGGGACGGGCCCGGAAACTGGGCCCTCTGTCCGCGAAGATAGAAAACTCTGCACGCACGATTCGGTGGCCGATTGCAGCGCTGCTGGCGCCAACCGCAGCTTGCAGCACGGCCATCGGACGTTCGTCTTTTCTCGATTGGACGGGACACCATAAACGCCAGTGTGCCAATTTGAATTATTCTATCTTCGCTCAGAGAGGAACTACATAACCACCCAGTTTCTCGCCCGGTGTATACTTGACGCTGTACTGTGTCCGTATGTATACATGCACACACGTGCGCGTATATATGCATCTATACTGTTCTGTATTCGTGTGACACGTGCCTCGTGTGCTCTGTATGCGTATTGTACATACGCACGTGTGTTCGTACGACACGGGGCCCCCCGTCGCGACAGTTCGGGGGGACGAGCACTGCGACAGAGAACGCTTTCCGAACTGTCTCTCTCTCATCGTTAGAGGATAATCGGTCCCCGCGGGCCCACACCCGCACCGCGAATTGGCAATGGGAGGAACACACGCTCGGCGTGGATCGATTAGCGAACGCGGGCCGCGGCACCGCCCACCGGTTCCCCCGCCGGCTGTCCCAACCAATGGGGAACGCGGGAGGCGTGGCGCGGCCGTCACGCGTTCGGTAACGTCCGCGGGAACGGGGGTACACAGCCCGCAAAAGGGCCCTCCAGATCATCATCCTCGACGCCTCGGTCGATCCTAGTTCTCTGTGCACGAAATCTAATGTAAACCTTTCCTCAGGGAACACAGCGCGCGTGCGTGACTCGTTTCGGGGAAACGAGCCCGCCCACGAAACACCAAATTGGGGGAAGGGGACAGTGCGGGGTGAAAATGGAAAACGAAATTCGTTTAGGCTGTTTGTATTTTTTCATTCTTTTTTTTTTTCTTTACACAGTGGCGATCACCCAGACCTAGCGTTTCCCGACCGAAATAATGGACAAGATGGCGCCGCGTGAATACTCTCCTCCGACTTGTCTCTCTGTGCGACATTGGACCCCACTCCACCCCGATCAACCCCCCCACAACCAATATTTTCAGTGTTTGCTGTGTCCTGAATAGTATAGATATATTATTTTATATACATTTAGCGTGTATATATTTATATAACATGATATGGCAAGACCGGCCACGCCCCCAGAGGGGGCGTGACCACGATTCGAGTTGTGCCGTCGGCCTTGTCAGATCATTCTCAGTGTTAGCTGTGACTTTAAGGAGGAAAAATACGGTTATTCTGAAACGGAGGAACAAGATTACGAGATGATATGTAAGATGAACGAGAGAAGCTGCGTTCGCGACGAGAGAGTCCCGGTTTTGGTTCCCTCTCTTCCGTTTTGCTTGCTCGCCAGAGGGTCTCTCGCTCTTTGTCTCTTTTCCCTGCTCTCTGTTTTTCACACTCTCTGTCTCTCTCTCTCTCTCTCTTTTCTCTGTCACTCTCTCTCACACTCCCTCTCTCTTTCTCTCTCTCTCTCTCACTCTCTCTCTGTTTTCCGATGATAATATTACGAGCGAAGCGAGAGGTTCCGATCCCGGATTCCAAATCGTTTTACATTAGAGGAGAGATTATACTGTGCACGGGGAATCAATAGCAAGCGACGCGGGTTACGCCTGAGAATTTTTGAGAATTTGCAAAGGAAATTGCCTGCAGAGTGTCCAGCGATCCACGATACGATTCTACGCGAAAACACTCGGTGGAAAAGCGTAGAAAGAATTTTTTCGCTACGACGCTCCGCTCCGGGGAAATCCGGGCTGCGACCATCGAACGACACGCCCATCTAGCTCTAGACTCCGCCCACTCTGAGCGCACCCACGCCTACGTCCATCCACGAGTTTCTCCGCAACGAAGCGTCCGTTCCGGAAAAAGTCCGGTTCTACAATTGTCGGTCCCGGTTTCTCGCGTAGAATTTTACTCTCTCGTGTCGCATCACCGATCGTGTGTGACACCCTGTACATATGCTTCTCTATATATTTTATATATATATTATCTCTCTATCTCTCTTTTTCCTTTTTAATGAAAACCTATAAGCGTAGGTTACAGGCTACAGAATAGTGAAAAAGTGATATTAATTTTTTAGTATGGCTGGAAGTGGAGTACTAACTTCAAGGAGGCCATACAGACCAGTCACGAGTAATTTTTTACTGATTCATATTTATAAATTATTAATTATTATTATTATTATTACCATTATTATTATTATGATTATTATTATTAATACTTCTACTTATTAACATTACTCTTATATTATCATTATTATTATTATTCTGTACTATTTTATATATTACATATATATATATATAAATATTTATATATATATTCGCCCATAAGCCCACACCATATACATACACATATATACAGACACTTACACGCGCTAACGCGCGCACACACATATACACATGATTATATATATATTATATATATTTTTTTGTCGGTATAATGTCTGCCGCACAAATCATCATACTGTTTATAGCTGTTTATCCTTAGCGACTATCGAAGTATTCCGGCGAATATTTATTTCTCAAAACTGCGTAGTGTGTACAACGATTGTAGAACAGGCAGAGCATATTTATACGCCCGCCAGAATTCTTCGAGCCTCCGCCGTCGTGAAACATTTACACTATCATTCCACCTGTCGTCTACACCTTACTCTCGAGCTTATCCGGAAAATTCGAATTTTCCCGCGCTTACGTCCGAGGAACTCTCGCGCGCCGTCCATAACCGCTGAACACTATCGCGCCTCGCGTCCGGTCGTTCTCAGATTTACGTTGTTCTGCATCAAACTTAGAGCTTGATCGTTCTGTCCTCGCTACCAACCTGACCGCTTCCGAGATGTGTCCGAAACAACACGCGCGTGCCAACCGGAAGTCTCCGCCTCTGTGCTACGCGCTGCGCTCTCTCTCTCTCTCTCTCTCTCTCTAACTCTCTCTAACTCTCTTTCTTTCTTCCTTTCTTTCTCTCCTGTCTCTTATACACATCTAGATGTGTATAAGAGACAGCCTCTGTGCTACGCGCTGCGCTCTCTCTCTCTCTCTCTCTCTCTAACTCTCTCTAACTCTCTTTCTTTCTTCCTTTCTTTCTCTCCTGTCTCTTATACACATCTAGATGTGTATAAGAGACAGCCTCTGTGCTACGCGCTGCGCTCTCTCTCTCTCTCTCTCTCTCTAACTCTCTCTAACTCTCTTTCTTTCTTCCTTTCTTTCTCTCCTGTCTCTTATACACATCTAGATGTGTATAAGAGACAGCCTCTGTGCTACGCGCTGCGCTCTCTCTCTCTCTCTCTCTCTCTAACTCTCTCTAACTCTCTTTCTTTCTTCCTTTCTTTCTCTCCTGTCTCTTATACACATCTAGATGTGTATAAGAGACAGCCTCTGTGCTACGCGCTGCGCTCTCTCTCTCTCTCTCTCTCTCTAACTCTCTCTAACTCTCTTTCTTTCTTCCTTTCTTTCTCTCCTGTCTCTTATACACATCTAGATGTGTATAAGAGACAGCCTCTGTGCTACGCGCTGCGCTCTCTCTCTCTCTCTCTCTCTCTAACTCTCTCTAACTCTCTTTCTTTCTTCCTTTCTTTCTCTCCTGTCTCTTATACACATCTAGATGTGTATAAGAGACAGCCTCTGTGCTACGCGCTGCGCTCTCTCTCTCTCTCTCTCTCTCTAACTCTCTCTAACTCTCTTTCTTTCTTCCTTTCTTTCTCTCCTGTCTCTTATACACATCTAGATGTGTATAAGAGACAGCCTCTGTGCTACGCGCTGCGCTCTCTCTCTCTCTCTCTCTCTCTAACTCTCTCTAACTCTCTTTCTTTCTTCCTTTCTTTCTCTCCTGTCTCTTATACACATCTAGATGTGTATAAGAGACAGCCTCTGTGCTACGCGCTGCGCTCTCTCTCTCTCTCTCTCTCTCTAACTCTCTCTAACTCTCTTTCTTTCTTCCTTTCTTTCTCTCCTGTCTCTTATACACATCTAGATGTGTATAAGAGACAGCCTCTGTGCTACGCGCTGCGCTCTCTCTCTCTCTCTCTCTCTCTAACTCTCTCTAACTCTCTTTCTTTCTTCCTTTCTTTCTCTCCTGTCTCTTATACACATCTAGATGTGTATAAGAGACAGCCTCTGTGCTACGCGCTGCGCTCTCTCTCTCTCTCTCTCTCTCTAACTCTCTCTAACTCTCTTTCTTTCTTCCTTTCTTTCTCTCCTGTCTCTTATACACATCTAGATGTGTATAAGAGACAGCCTCTGTGCTACGCGCTGCGCTCTCTCTCTCTCTCTCTCTCTCTAACTCTCTCTAACTCTCTTTCTTTCTTCCTTTCTTTCTCTCCTGTCTCTTATACACATCTAGATGTGTATAAGAGACAGCCTCTGTGCTACGCGCTGCGCTCTCTCTCTCTCTCTCTCTCTCTCTAACTCTCTCTAACTCTCTTTCTTTCTTCCTTTCTTTCTCTCTATCTCTCACTTGGCCAGTCTTCCTCACTTGTAAAAATGCGGAATTTCTGTTTGATTTAACACTGGTCCTTCAAACTCTGTCTTTCTTTCATTTTTTTGGTTATCGCAAAAAAGGATTGGGTTGGTAGCCCTGCGCGAGGAGCTCGAACGAAAAGACAAATAGAACCGCTCGTTCCAATCCACTTCTTATAGTAAGGTGTAACAAGCAGACCCCGCCCTCGCCCACGCCCTCGCCCCGCCCACGCCCCCACCCCAGCCCCGAAACCACGCCCCGTCTTTGTTTCTCGTACACACAAGGTTTACATTGGATTTCCCCCCGGATTATTGAGACCACGGCGACGAAATTGCACGTGATCGTCGTCGAGAGCGCTGAACCACCCTCACCTCCAACCCTCATCTCAAGCCATCATTAAACCCCCAGCACCGTCATCACTCGATTTACGGGGAGAGAAGAGAAAGAAACATTCGAGGAAACTAGAGCTAGCCCTCGGGAGGAAACCAGACTGATCGGGTTCACCGATCAATCGTGACTTTCCTCTGCTCGCCGTGCACGACAGGGTGAGAAACACTGGGCCCGGTTCTTTTCTCAGAAAAAAAGAAACAAAAATAAACGCCAACAAAATTTCCTAACCGATCAGCCTGGCCCAGAACTGAAGAAACGATTGCAAACAAATGTATATGTATATACGACCGGCACATTACGTGTCGCCCAGAACTCGGAACATTTGACGCAGGAAAGTCTCTCTTCGTGAAGATATACTCATTCGTCATTCAAATTTCCCGCGCTCTCATACGAAAATTCAAACCCCCAGCACTGTGCTTACTTCGCTCTGCTCGGCCGCCAGTTCAATCATCCACCGCCGAATCGATCTCGCACCCCCCCACCACCTCACTTTCTCGCCATCAAACTTTCATTCGCCATCTCGTCCCATCCGTCGATACTTTGTACGATACACAGATTTCGTATACACACGGCCCCGCTCTATTTTCTTTCCCTACCCTCTCTTTATCTCTCTCTCACTCTCTCTTTCTCTCTCTCTTTCTCTCTCTCTGTCTCTATTTCTTTGTCTCTCTCATTTTCTTTTTCTCTCATTCACTCTCTCTCTCTTTCTCTCACTCTGTTTCTCTATGTCTCTGTCTCTCTATATCTCTGTCTTTCTCTCTCTCTCTCTCTCTCTCTCTCTCTCTCTGTATATCGTATGTACAGAGTAGGGCATCCGAAAACGGGTGTCTGAAAGTCTCTGTGGCTTTTGTACGAACCGAGGGATACTGTTTGACTTGCATGGGGATGGGGGATGAATCTACTTGTCATCATTATTTTTTCTTCATTCATCGTCACGATTTCTTTACCCGTTCATGGTACGTGCAGTTTTTTTTATTTCGTTCCGTTTTTTGTGCACCCTCCGACACTCCTCAGCATCATAATATATCAGTCTTTACCGAGAGTGCAACCCCCTCGTCGACCAGCAATAATTCCATAGTTTTAACGTATCTTTCACGTAGGCCGTCTGTTCTCGTGACTCCGGAAGCCACAGAGGCTTTCAAGTATACCCCTGTGAAGCGACGCGCGGCCCTGTCGGCGATAGAAAAATTTTCAAAACTGAGATTCCGTGCTCTATGAAACCGTGAACGCCCACAGGGTCGCCGCCCACTTCAAACGCCCCGCCCATGTGTACAAGTGTTCTTGGTGGAGCGCCAATTGACCTTGATCTTCTAATATAAATCGTCGCGTTGTAATCGTTAAAACACCACCAAGGACACGATATAAGCGTATCGTAACGTACACATACGCAGCTATTCGACTCTCGAGTCCGTCTATGTATACATATGTATATACTGCCTTACTATAAGGATTGGACCGAAGGTTTCGACTGTGTATCTTTGATTGACGATTGGCCACTTTTCACACCTCTGTTTACTCGCAAGTCTATACTCAGAGCATGTCCCCTCCGTGTATAATATACGGCAAAAGCATGCGGCATGTGTGTGTGTGTGTGTATTTAACGAGAAAGTTATACTGTGTGTGTACACGTAGTTGCGAGAAGGTTCTGAGCACGTACTGTAGCGTATTCTGCATGTGCCGTTTTACTCTCGAGCTTGGCCCACGCGTCGATCTATCGGGTGTCGACGAAGTAACCGACCGGGTCCGCCGCCCCCCCACCCTTTTTCCTCGACGCCCGACGACGCTAGCCCCGACCTCCCCCCTCGAACCGTCCCCCACAGCCCTGTCCGATAAATATGGCTTCCCCGTTGGTTCTGTTACGTCACGATTGGACACTGACTAAAGAGGATTATTAATGGATAATTAATGATTAGAGCGTACCGACCGTATTCGGCAACCAGTCGAGCGTGCACGCGACCGAATTCACGGCCATCTGTTGATTTTTGGATTTTTGATTTTCCGTTTCTCTGTTTCTTTTTTTAAGTTGACTAATACCGGACAGCAATCGATGCCAAACGTAAAAGAGCCCCAAACGAGTACTGACTTGTAACACGCACAACGCACGCACAAAACGCATAACACCCGACCGCAGGTAACTATCTAACGGAAATAATGCATACGTATCTTTTTTTGTTTTTTTTTCTTTTTTTTTTCTTTTTGGTTTCTCTTTATGTTTCTTTTTTTTTCTCGTCTTTCTCGTTTTCTCGTTTCAATCGTCTCTCGTCTCATTTGTTGTATATCTATGCCTCTCTGTCTCATGTTGATCTCTCGCAAGACCATCGATTCTTTTCGCTCGATCGTGTCGATATACATATAAACCGCGCGTCACCGGTATTACGATGTACCGGGTGTCCCGGGAGGAAAGCAACGAGCCAGCACTGTCCGACAAAGACGTTCCGGTAATAGACCGTAGTAAGCACCGTCGAATATCTCCGTTTCTCGCGGTATCACGCACCGTCGCTGTTCGTCGATAATTTGTTAAATATCAATAATCGAAAAATAATTACTGTACAGATTGTAATCACCTTCCTCTCACAAATGGGTGTCGAGTGTGGTTCACCAGTTTCCTCTTAGGACACCCTGCACATTGATCATCGTTCTCATCTCGATTTATTGTGTTCGAATCATGTTTTTACATTTTCGTTACATCGCCTCTCTTCACGTTTTGTTTCTCTCGCCCTCACGCTCTAGCCCCGCTCACCATTATTATTGTCTCACCGGCATCTTGCATGGAACACATTCGCGCACATTCTACTATTATCAGCATGCCGTAGACGATAAGTCACCGACCAAGGCTCGCGGTCTGTTCATCGGGACCACCGGTAAAAAAGAACAAACTGTCGCGCGGCGCCGAACGCGCGAGCCACGCCTCCCCCCTCCCCATGGGCGTGTCCATGGGGCCGGCAGGAACGACGAACGACCGTCGACGCCTCGATGCACTGCTTTTGGAACGAGAGCCGCTCGTCAGAAGACCCTCTCGCCCCAGAGATCTTCTGACGAGGCCTCGAGGATTCATCGACGCCCATGCCCGCACGCACGGGCGGCAACGGTAGGCAACTTCAAACGCTGGATTGCCACGTCTGCACCACTGTCAGCCGCTAGGCACACTCTCACGCCTTCGAAACCCACGAACAATCTCGCTCCGGTGTCTGCACCCTCCCACATCCCCTGTTCTCGCACCTATCGAGCACTAAACAATCGTGGCTCCAGCCACCGTCGTAAGCGTGGCAACCCAGCCAGAGACTTGGCCAACCAGTGCCGCCCGGAGAACACGTCCCGCCCCAACGGGAGCCCGACGTAACCTTGAAACCCTGTCCGAAACAGGCACCTGCCCCTGTGCCAGCGGAACGCACTGTCGTGGGGTCAGCGAGCGTCATCGGGGGAGGGTCCCACCCTCACGAGCCACCCACCGCCCATCAGCAGCGTCCGGAGAACGCACTCGACGCTCTGTTAGACGAGCTGCAGACCTTCTCGCGGCCGAGCTCCCAGCTGGGCCACGTGTCCGGCTCGTCGTCGATCCTGTCCGAGATGGGCAGGTCGGGCAGCAGAGAAGCCGCCATTCCACCGGTCACCGGGACACCTGGACGAGCGCCGTGCATCTCGGAGATCGGGAGAAAGGGCAGCGTGGACTCGTCCAGCGGTGTCCTGGCCGTCAGCGGGGCCGTGGTGAGCGTGGCCGCGGCACAGGCCCCCGGCGGGACCCTCAGGCGGTTGCATTCCTACCCATCTAGCTCGGACACGGACACCTCGCCGCCGATAGCGAGACTGCAGGTGACTCTGCAGGACCAGCCGAGCCTGCCGCTGTTGCCGCAGGGTTTCGTGCCGGGCCAGAAGCCGCCAGTTCCCGAGAGGAACGCGGAGCTGTTACAGTTAGCCACCGCCAGACGGGTGCCGCCCCCTCCACCGCCGCGAACCAGCTCCAGATCCCCATTGGCCAGTCCCACCAGTCCCCAGTTGCCGCCCAGGAATCACGCCTGCAACCTGCAGACCGGCAACTCCACCCTGCGCAGGCCGCCAGCCCGTGGGACCATGCCGAAAGAGGGCAAGCCGCCCATGGCGCTGCCGGCGGAGGCAACCAACAACGCGACGGCGACCTTAGAGCCCGGCCTCCACAACTCCTCGTCCTCCCAGTCGTCCGCGGTGTTGTCCGCGAGCAACTCGAGCTCCTGCGAGAGCGTGAACTCGCAGGAGGGGATGCAGAGCCGAAAGGGCAGGCAGGAGCAGCTGGAGCAACGCCACCAAGAGCTGCTGCGCAAGCAGAAGGCGTTGCAGGAGCAGTACGCGCGGCTCCAACAGCTGCAGAGGAACACCGCTGGCCTGGCAGCCGTACCGCCGGCCCCGCCCGACCTCCTCAAGAAGACCGGCTCCGAGAGCAACCTGCTGGCCAAGATGGGCCTGGGCCTCAGCACCGCCAGTTCAGGCTCGCTGACCAGCCTGACCGGCAAACCGTCAATTTCTCAGGAGTCTTCCGTGGACGGGCAACAGCCTCCGCGACCGGAGGAGAACAACGGGGAGCAGGAAGCTGCGAAGACGGTCGGCAACTCGATCTCCATCGGGCCAGGAAACGGGCCGAGCAACGCCGCCGTCTGCGCCGAGAGCAACGACCAATCGGCTGGCGCCGCGGCGACGACCGGCAACGCCGTGTCGACCGTCGCGCCGAACGCGACCACCACCACGACCACCAGCAAAATCTACGAGACCGATATTCTGTGACCGAGAGGTCGGTCCTCCTTGATCAAGATCACCGCCGAGGCCGTGCTTGCGAGTTAACCCCGCCCACCGGCGCCGAACGGCCGGCCCCTGGGCGTGGCCAGCCGGGTCACCGCCCGTTTGCCACGCGGCGGGGCTCCCGCCGCGGGGTGAGGGGCCTCGCGCGCGCGCGCTCGATTATCATTATAAAACGTACGACCACACACACAGACACACACAGGACGCTTTTCAGTATTAGGACGAATCGAATTCGACGGGTCAGTCTCTGTAAACGGTAGACGGTCTGCGAACCGTTCCGGAAACGGAACGGTCGCCGGGAATGTAGGGAGTACTGCGTAGAGAATGTTTAGAGCGAGTCACGCGTTATTTATAATATCGAATATCATAATTAAACGGTAATAGTATTAATAATCGTAAAACGGGATGTGTCCGGAGACGCGTGTAATCGAAGCGTTGATTCCTCGGCCGAGTTTCGGGTGATCCCGGTGTCCGCGAGGCTCGAGTGGCTTCTACGAAGGCTCGAGCGACCCCTTTCGCAACGACTGTGCCAAAAATTATCGATGGAAACACAATCGGCACCCATCGACTCACGCCGCCCTCGCATTTTTTAATCGATACATTGCAAGCAAGCAAGCAAGCGCACACTGTGTCGGTGTGCTCGCTATATCCTACGATACATATACGACGGGGGAAAATTTATATTTAAACGAGTATTTAAGATAGGGTAGACTATTGAGACACATCGAATCATGTAAATTGCGCCGGACTGGGTGGAGAATCGTCTAAAAAAAGGAGGATGTTATTGTCGAGCGATGTTTATTTCTTCTTTTATGTAGATTATTATTAGATCTTTTTATGTAGATTATATGTTCGTTCGTTCATTCGGAAACGATTTCCATCCTGTTCCGTGCAATCCTCGTTCGAGCACCGTTCTCCCTTTTCTAGTAATCGACGAGAAGGTGGCGATGATCGAGAATAAGTCGGGCGAAAATGACCGTGAAGGGGCGGAGGTTGAATCAGCAAATGCGAGGGGGCGTGGTCGGTGAGGATTGAGGGCGGAGATTCCGAGGATCGATGAATTTATTCGACGGACAGAGGCAAAGATTGAAAGGAACATTGCTCAATATTTACCGGTCGAAACGCGGCGGCGAGCATCGCGACTCGCTTCGATGGTTGCTCCGCGTGGGCGTGCACCGTTCAAGATCGTGTCGATGGGCGGAGCCGAGTCGCCGAACGGCCCGCCGCTTTCTACGCTACACAAGATTCATTCCTAATTACACTTAGCCAATTAATTGATTCGCTTGGATCGCATCAGCTCGTCGATAGTTCACCCTTCGATCCTGTTTCGTGCGGCGAACACGCCGGCGATGGGCCGAGCGAGAACGATGGGCGGCGCATGTGGCCCCGCCCCGAGCGAATCCGGGAAACCGATTGGAGAAGACGATCTGTTTTACGTTACCGACGTTTTACGTTCGAGTTTGTGCGCCGAGTAGCGGATTCGTTTCGATTTAGAGATTCTCTGTTTACGATTTGTCGATGTTATACTCAACAGATCTCGTCGAACAACGTTTCTCTTCGCTTAGGAAGGCGTTCCAGCCCCGATGGAGAACGACGAAAGAAATGAGAGGGAGGAGAAGAAATCGGAGAAGAAGGGTGTGTTCCCGACGCTCGACAGACATCCGAGATATACCTATATAATCGATACACGCATACTTTTGCTTCGCGAGGCCTAATAGCCTATAGATTCGACTCAGTGCTTGCCTCAAAACAACCCGTTCGTTTACCGGTTACGTTACTTCGAATCGTGCGCCATTTCGCCACTCCACGCGCCCCCCAGTTCCCCCGCGCCTTCTTTGATCGCCGTATTCGGCAACTTAAACATAGTGGATTAGTCAGGTTTCGTCTTGCTACACTTGCGAGTGATCGTGCTCTCATTTATTTTCTACATAAACAGCCAGGAAAACACATCTATATGGAAGTAATAATTAAATATTTAACGATAAGAGTAATAAATACGTGCGTAAGAATATGGATAATAACGAGGATCATCGATCGCAGTTTCAATTCTGTTCCAGCGAGTGTGCGTTTTAAACGAGACAAGACGCGATAGACGATCCCTGTCCACCCCTCCCGACCCGCCCCCGTTACACCACCCCGCCCACCATCCATTTTCCGACAAACGAGAGCACAGTCTTGTTCCGATCGCGCTGCCCACGATCGGACCTGTATATTGTTCCATTCACGGATAGTAGGTACTTACATACACGCAATCTACAGCCGACATTGCATTTGTACAAAGCTGCTTTCTACCGATGCATCCCCGAATTCTCTCTCGTGCTTAGTTTTTTCCTCGACGATCCTGTCCTATTGTTCTTTCTTGTCGTCGATTAACTTCATCCTCGCTTCTCATTGGTCAACGTTTTATTTATACATATATATACATATATATTTTTTGAGGGACTACGTTGCTCCAGCTTGAATTCCCCGCCTTAGGGCCAACCTCTCTTGAACTCGCCACGCCCTTGGCCCCTCCCACGCTCCCCCCACTACTACTCACTTACCCGCCTACCGAGCAACAAGTTTTCTCTCGCGAGAAAAAAATCGACGCAGAGCGGGACGACCCGAGTACCAATTTAATTTCATCCGTAACATTAGCCGATATTATCGATATCTAATGTTTCCCGACGATCCTGTACGCCAAATCGAATTGACTTGTTACATTTGTAAATGTTTGTAAGTACTATCACGTAATAAAATAATCGATTAAATAATCACCGAACCGGCTCCCATGCTCACCGCTATCTTGCTCCAAAGAAACATTTTTATCTGCCAATCTATGGATTATACTAATCATTCTAACGAAATATACAACAGCAAAGAACCTTTCCCAGCTATACCGTACCAGTAGAACAATTTATTTATTGTTAAAACGGAAGAGAACAATGAAAAAGAAGTTACGATTTTTATCGTGGTTTGAAACATCCAAATGGCGCCAGTCGACGCAGTGGCAAACGCTCAAACTACTTAGTCAAATTCGTTCTAGATACTTCCGCTAGAACGACATTGATTTTCTAAAGCGTCGTCTAGCTAATTCTAGCATCTATAGGTTCGTTTGAATTATAATGATTCGATATTATTCTATGAATCGTTATGATTATTTATCTTGAGAGTTCTATATTATAAAACCGAGGGTTTTTCTTATGCTAAAGTGTTTGCCAATAAATTCAAAAATTCTTTCACGAACCTCTTTATAAATACGAACTATTTACAATTAATTCATTCATAATCGATAATAAAAATGCGCATATTACGTTTGTGATGTCATAAAATTAATTGTTTTATAAGAATTGTCGAAAGCGTGGCGGATGGAAAATAAATTCGGACGGGATAAAATCGATTAAACGATTACTACAGAATTAACAATAATTATATATTTTTTTAAATTTCTTTAGTGGGAGTTTCTTGTGTGGGAGTTTATCCAGACAATTACTGATCTTGTTTCGGTTCATCCGGATGATCTTCCTCGGTAGATACCGAGGAATCTTGCAATTTCAATTTCTCTGCTTCGAATTTCTGTATCTCCCTTTCCAGTTTTTCGTACTTTAACAACGCGTGGTCTATATCGCGTCTCATCGACGATTCTAACTTGGCATAGGACTTGATCATCGTTATATCGTCCTCGCATGGCGCGGATTGGGCGGATAGAGCTTGAGGATGAAAGATGTGGTAGAGCTTTATGAGAGCCACAGCTTCGTCTATCCTCTGGCTGTGAATTACATCGACCAGCAAATTATCGATCTTCTTCTCCCAAGCCAAATGGAATGCTAGCGGACCAAAATGCCTGGTAGATCGCAATGATTCGAAGTTTCTCTTCAAGTTTACATCTTCGTAAACCCGCTTCGTGACTCTATGATACTCGGGGTCGTTGGGCTCGAACTGTATGCAGGCACGGTCCAAAATGAATACGTACTCTTCCCTCTCCAGTAAATTCTGAAATAAAATAAATCGTTTCAGCATAATGTATCTTGCATGAATTTTCTAATGTCAGATGACTACGACACTTACTTCAAGGTGTGGATCAAAAAACATCTTAGGTGTCTCAATCTCCTTGCCGTACACAGGGAAGTACACCTGGTTCATTCTACTCCTTTCATTCATAAACGCGTGTCGTAACTTGCCGTCTGGTTCTCGAACAACTATAAGTCTGTTTTTATTGCTAATCCCAAAACTGATATCGGTGAACACATGTTTCGCAGTGGTTAGCCCTCTTAGTCCAGGGTCTTCCCCGATCAGCTTAACAGTGTCCTCCTGAGCTTCCACCACAGGCGGCATTTGCAGTCGTATAAATGCTTTGCTATCCGTTCTCCGTTCGTATTCCTTCAGTTGTTCGGTAGTTAAAAATTTCATAATTGAATTTTTCAATGGCTTTCCGACTTTGCGCGGTTGGAAGACCTTCTCATAATCGACACGTGTTAATGTCTTCAACAGTAACTGAACGTCCACGTGGAAAAAGATCTTCCTAGGGTCCGGCTGCGCTGTAAAAGAAACATTGTTTTCGAATAAGGAAATAACATTTAGAGAACATAACCTACGTACACAGTAAAATCGAAGTAACAACCGGCAAGAAAATTGTTTTAAGTCACCTTCTGCTTCGGAGATTGTCGAACAGAAGCGGCGTATCGAAGTAGATTGTCTGTAAACTTTTTCCAAGACTAAACTCGATCGTGTGAACATTGTTCCTCCAATGTTTATGAAAACTTAACCGCACGCACGACTCCAGAGTGAATGGAATTGTAATGCTGCGACCTCTGCCGGTCTATCAGATCAAATTATTTTCTTTCTACCACCTCGTCTGTGTTTCTACGTTACATGGCTTTAAAAATACTTTATTAAAAACAATATTGTAATATATACAAGGCTTACGCCAGTCCCGTCTGCGGAAACGATTCTCATCGCAGAAATTCGATAAATCACGAAACCACGGAGACTTAAACTCAAAACGAATTGCACTTAAGTCCCGAAATTCCGCTTCGTTCGATTTCAGTTCGTAACTCGAGGCGAAGAAGATATTCCGCGACAAAAAGATCATAATTTTCTAAATTGTCCGATTGAGAACTTTCTCTCACAAGAAATCATAATACTATCTCGAGAATGCGTCGGTGGGAACGGCCGAGGATTTGTAGTCTTTCATAAAATTCCCGATGGCCTGTCTCAGGTTCCACTTGCACTCTTCCAAATACGTCTTGGCCCATTCTTCGTTCAGCGTCGTGATCTCGAGAAATTTGTTCATTATTTCCTTCTTCTCGGTGCTGCTGAAGCACGTTGGCACGATGTCGTCGTACGAGATCTTGGAGTCGATGCTGGAGGGGAGAACTTCCTTGACGGGGAGCTCCACGAAATACTGGTCGTTAAGAATGTTGTATTCGTTATCGGCGCCGGCCAGCAGGACGAAGGTCCTGTTGAACGCCAGGACTTGCGAGACGTTGTTCTTGAAGATAGCCTTGAAGAGACCTCCAACGGAAATGGCGAGACACATTCCATCGTCGAAGATCAGGTCGCAGATGAACGAGCTTCTGTCGTGGTAGGACTTCGGCAGCCTCTTCAGCCCGCCCAAAATATTGTCCGGGCCATAGTACAGGTGTTGCCTCTTCTTGTTCGGGTCCGCTGTTTTGGTCAGGTTTCTGCAGGCGGTGAACTGCGTCAGGTTCTTCTTGTGCGCCACCGCGCCGGGAATACCCGAATTCATCGAGTAAAACGCGTTCTTGTGATAGAGTCCTCTCAAGACCGTTCTGTCGCCTTGATCGTACAGATTGAAGAAATGATTGACGAATTTGGAGACCAGTTCTTTCCTCTCCTCATTCTTCAGGTATCTCGTGTAGGTTAGCGGCAGAGAGCTGGTCTTCACGTAGACCCCGTCCAGTTGGACCAGATACGGGCAATACTTTTTAGCGGACTCGATGTATTGCTTAGGTTTCGAATAGTTCTCGCAAAGAGGGTTCCCGTCCAGCCATAGCTTCGTTATAGGCATATTTTTCAGGGGGGTTAGGACCTCCATGTTGTAGAGATTGTTGTGCCTCAAGTCCAGGTACTTGATGGAAGTCAGACCGCAAGTTTCCATCGGTATCAGGTTGAACAGTTCGTTCTTTTGGAGGTTCAGATGCTCGACCGTCGCGATCGCGGTTTTCGTGAGTTTCATCACGTGGTTGAACGTTCTCTGTTGGGTCAGAGGGCAGTAGATGGCCTTGGACATGTCCGGGTCCTTGTGAAACTGTTCCAAGTCCAGGCTCTTTTTATTGGGATTGTATTTCTTGGCCAGACCTGCCAGGAGCAGCGGCTGCAGGTTGATTTTTAGATCGTGGATAGACGCGAAACCCAGTGTTACTATTAAAATCAAGGGGTCCCCTTCGGGATTCTTTATTATCAAGTTGGTCTTGCATAATTTGTCCAGTGCATGCGCACAGTTTCGTGCCAGGAAGTACGTGTCCTCGCCGATGGCCTGGTACTTAACAGGCACCAACTCTGCAGGCTCAATGGCGTTCAAGATAGCCTTCAGCACGATCTCCTTGTCGTATTGCGTGCCCTTCAATATTCTGACCTTGTGCCACACGTCGGACCTGCCCATTAAGGTCCTCTCTTGAAACATCGATCCACCCATGCTGATCTTAATCGCTATGGACGAGTCCAGCTGCATGGGCACTATGGGCAAGTTCGTCCGCTGCATCTTTGCGAACTAACGGCAATCCTTTATATTAAAAAATCACTCGTACCTACAAGAAGCAATATTTATTTTATCTGGTGTTAGGTTAGGTCATTCTCGTCGCGAAAAATATGAATTAAAAATATCACAATTGAGCTCAACAAATTACCTGTTTCGGAAATCCTTACTCTACGAAAACGCGCCTCATCTTTCGTCTCATTTGTTCGATATATTGTTGCATATATTTGTCCGTCTACAACGCGACATTGTTGATATTCGGCAGCGCTATCTACCAGCCATTTCGTGGAAGCAGTCGGCAACTTACCGGTCGCTACGGTCCCCAAGCGGGCTCAAGTACGGCTCATTCTTCTCAGAGTGCGACACGTTGCAAAACCCTTGGGTAAAAATGTCGCAGACGGTATAAAAAGCGGAAGAGGACGTTAAAATTGGACAAGGTGCTTCCGATGGACCCGTTGGCCCCGGTATTGGTCCAGGAATGATCAGGTCAGCAAGTCGTTTTCAGGACAGGACGGCCTGGGTTTGGCCGTGTCAGGCCAATCACGCATGAAAGCAACAATGAGAGGATGGTCGAAATGGTGGGATAGAGGCCCGAGACCGGTGATTTCGTCCTGTTCGCAGGGTATCGATGATGCCAGCCCCATCGGCGGCCGTGTGTGCGTCGGCACGTTGCGCCTTGGGCGATCCTCTTCCGCGTTTCACGTCGCCGGAAAAGGAAAAATCCCCGTCGAACGATCTGCTAGTTATATACCAGCCGGCCGGATTTTTCTCGAAACCGGGGAAGACATCCGACCAGATGCACGGTAATGGCCACGACCATATGCGGTGACCCCTAAGAGACCAGCCAGATACGCGCTGCCACGTTAAGTGCGCGATTTAGACGCCGTCGCGTCGCCGTGGAAAAATGCTAATGGAGACGCGCGGGGACCTTCCGATTATCAGGCCCACAGGTACGTCCCGCAATTGAAACAAAGTGGGCCTGATACGGTCGAGGTTCGGATTTGCATTGCAAGTGTAAGGGGGCACCGCCACTTATCATCCGAGGGCGTGAGACGCCTTCGATCGTTGTCCTTACGGAGATGTGGCAACACCGCAGCCGAAATTTGTCGATATTCAAAGTTCTGTAACTTTGCGAAAAGATGTCGTAGGGCAATGGACCTTAGCTCGTTTTAAAGGGCGGAATCTGTACTTTCCAGCCACTTAAGTTATTTCACAATAGCTTTACTATGTTCCTAATGGTCGCCATTTTTGTAACAATCGTCATTTCTTGATCATTTTTCAACTTCGCGAAACTCTGGAGGCTTTAAACATTTTTTTTTATCAGTGAAATTATAGTGCTTTTGAAGATTGAAGTCTCCTCTTACAAACGAGTCCAAAAACAAAACGCTACGATTTTTTTGCTGCAAATTTGTGGCACTTTGAATGAATTTTCGAGCTTCTCGTAGAAGGAAGATTCTGCAACATTCAAAATTCTGTAACTTGGTAACAAAATATCGTACGACTATGAATCTTAGCTCATTTTAAAGGACGGAATCTGCACTTTCTAGATACCTAAGTTGTTTTATAATAACGTTGTTATATCGTAAACAGCTGCAGCTTCAGTAACAAGGATCGCGCCTTGACGATGTCTCATATTCACAAATCTCTGAGATGTTCAATAAATTATTCTTGTAATTGAAATTGTAGTGGTCTTAAAGCGTGAAGTCTCCGCTTTTCAACGAGTACAAAACGACCTCTGTGCGATTTTTTTTCACGAATACACAGTCGATCGATTGAACAATGTTCCAGCATCGCTCAAATTCGGGGTCAGGATTTGAGAATGAAAACTTATCGATATTCAAAGCCCTATAACTCCGCGACAAAAGTGCGCAGGGTAACGAACCTCGGCTCATTTTAAAGAGCAGAATCTGCTCTTTCCGTCCATATAAATTATTTAGTACTTCCTCTAAACTAGAACGTCAGAATCCACATTCATCGTCACTCGCGAACCTGAAGATCAGCGTCCAAAATGGAGCATCGTTCCTCCAGGGTCAATGCGGACCCAAGTGCCGCGTTACAGCCAAACAAACGAATGAAACCTCGAGGACGGTGTCGGGAAAGGTCTCGAGGTCACGATCCGCCAGTTTTCCAGAACTTCGGCGCTCGTCGGAGGACGTCTCCGGATGCAAAGAGTCGGCGCGGATGGGTTTTCGAGGAGGAAGTGAGGGCTCCGCGGCGATTCCCTTTCTTTTCGTGGCCGGAGGAATTCGCCGGCGTGCCGGGGCACGTCGGCCCGTATTATAGCAATTCAATAATAAATTGTAGAACGCTCGGTCGTCGCATTATGCGCCGGTAATCACAGTAATAAGCAGTTCTAAAAGTAACGTAAGTACGTTGTAGGTAGTAACGAGTGAGCCGTAATCTCGGGGATGCTTCGACGGGAATCCGAAGCCTCTGGAGAGGAATAGAGAGGGCGATTCGCGGGAAGGAACAACGCGCGGGACGCGCCGCGTGAGAGGGAGAGAGGACAGAGAGGGAGGAGAGAGAGCCCATGGGCGTCATCCGCGGCGTTTGATCTAGAATCGGCATAATTTACAACTCGAAGGAAATTGAGCCGGCAAGAAAGTCGACTCGCGGAGCACGGATCGTCGGTCCCTGCCGCCCCTTCCGGCACTGGATCACGCTGGATCGATGGATCGCTCGTCCCGGGGTCGACGTCCATTCGCTCGAGTCGGAAAACTTTGCGAACCTTTAGCAAGACCCGCCGCTCGCCGAGCGTTGTTTCTACGCGCGGCTTTCGATTAGATTCGGTCGATCTCGGCGGCGAGCTAGTTCAGCGGGAAAATTGCGCTGGAAATTGAATGGACCTGCTGCAGGAAGTTTTCCGCTCCCCTTGGATCGCTATCGGGCGATAAACAGCCGCGTATGTACGCCTATGGTACGCGGCGACCCTGCCGTACGTACCCGTTAAGCCAACATCTAATTCGATAACTGGCGAAAATAATAACGTAGCGATCTGTTGCGTTCGCGGGCAACGCGCAATCATCCGTTTCGTACCGGGTGTCCAAGCAACAACCATCCACGGCTCGCATCATCCTCCGGACAGCTTTTTATTTGCCGGCCTGCCAGGGTTATTTAATATTTTCTCGATTTTTTTAGGCGCGGCCCGCACTCCTCTGTACGGGAAACTTAATGGGATTATTGAAAGAAAAGGTTCCCGAATGTACTCGATCTTGCTGGACCTGCATGACACTTCTCCCGCACATAATTGATCTAGTGATTAGGCTATCTAGCGTTTAAGTGGTCGAACTTTTAATTTCCCCGCGATAGTTGCAGATTTCCCGATATTCAAAGTACTATAACTTTGTGAGAAATAATTGCAGGGCAATCGACGGCTGGTCATTTTAAAAAGCAGAATCTGCTCTTTCCAGGAACATAAATTATTTTGAAGTAAGGTTACTGTGTTCCTGTTGGCTACCATTTTATCATCAATGGTCAGTTTTTGACTATTTTTCGAGTTTATAGAACTCTGTACGCAATTTTTTTGTCAAATGATGCTGTATTGTCTTGCAAGAATGAAATCTCCCCTTTCAAACGTGACCAAAAGCATGGTTTTACGATTTTTTCTTGCCATTTTGGAGCCCTTTGAATAAAAAGAGTGCCGCGGGGGATTCGGTTTTCGAGCTTATACGCTGGAAAAAGATTCTGCAATTTTCAAAGTTCTGTAACTTCGTCGATAAAAATCGTGGGACAATGAATCCTAGCTCAATTTGCAGGGTGAGAAATGTGCTTTCCATCCACCTAAGTATTTTTGTGATATCACTACTGCGTTCATAACAGTTGCAATTTTACTAATAGTATCCATTTTTTATCATTTTTCAACTTCACAGACCTACGGAGAGATCAAAAAATTTTTCCCTTCCATGAAACCACGGTGATTTGAAAGCGTAGAGTCTTACCTTTCGAACGAGCACAAAACGACTACTCTACGATTTTTTTTAACGAATATACAGCCGGTCGAATGAAAAACGTACCGTCGTCGCTAAAATCGAGAGTCGTAAGGTCAGGTTTCAAACACGAAAATCGATCGATCTTCGAAGCCATAACTTTGCGAACAAAAATTGTACGCAAACGAGCCTTAGCTCATTTTAAAGAGCGAAACTTGCTCTTTCCATCCACACATTTCCATCGTTCCAGTGACACCGTCGCCCCACCTGGTATCATGCGTTCACGATGTCAGACTTCGATCATGTTCAGCCGCGACCGAAAACGCCGGCCACCAAAATCGAGCATCGCGAGACCGGGGTCAAAAGGGACCCGGAGCCCCGCCATCTGCGATCGGTCCGCATAATTGAGCGGCCCGTGCTCTCGCGCGCCAATAAATGAATGAGATCTGGAATGCGGGGTCGGGAAAGGGGAGACGTTCTCGCTCGGTTCCAGGGAATCAGATAATTTTCGGGAGAGCTGTAGGAGCGGGACCGGGAGCGGCGGGGAGGAGAGAAGGACTCTCTCGGGCATCCTCTGCACGGTAACAATTTATAACGAGTCGCCGGAGCTACCTCGGTAGCAGATGACATTTATTAAAAGTTTCGGGCCCGGCTCGGGACGAGCATCGATCTTCTTCCAGCCGCCGCGCCGCCGCCGCCGCCAGGCCTCGTGTTGCTCCTCGGGTACACTCCTCTCTCGGGAGAGCAGGCCTCCGAACCCGGGGACTCGTTGTTGCCCGTCCACGAGAAATACCGAACAGTTTAATAAGCAAGCGGTAGCCGCGATACCGCGATACTACGGCTGCCATTCATCACTCGACGCCGACTCGTCGTCGTCGTCGCCGCCGGTCTGACTTCACGAGCATTTCGAACGCGCTCGCCTTTCCACGGCCTTGAACCCCTTCGAAGACCCAGCCGGTGTCCATGAAGAGGTCTTAGACGAAATGGGGCGTTTCTGCACCCGAGTCCGATGCCTGCGTCCTTGGAAAATGCGATGAAGGAGATAAAGAGGAAGTTGGAAACGAAGCTGAAGAAGAAGCTGAAGGACAAGCTGAAGAAGAATTTGAAGAAGAATCTGAAGAACAAGATGAAGAAGAAGTGGAAGAAGGAGTGATGGACGTTATCCTACGAAGAATATGGTAATGAAATATCGGTTCAAATCTGCGGACTGTGTCCTTAAAAAGTCGACTCAGAGGACGAAGTGGAAGACGAAGGAGGAGATAGAAGCAGAAGATGAAGAAGTATTCTACAGAAAATAGGGCACTGAAGAGTAGACTCAAGGTGAATATCTTTAGGT